AGAATGCATATTTATTGGGAAGTGCAGGCTCTCAAATATGTTATAATTAATAATAAATCACATTAATATGTTAATAATTCAGCTTTTACCCCACATATCAAAGCCTTGTTAATGGGTTTTGGATATCACCACATGAATAAATGAAGGCCAAATTGTGATGTGGTCTGTTTAAATAAAGCTTGTCTGAATGTCTGGCTTTGTCTGGAAATGAAATGAGAAAGTGCTTTAAACAGGAAGGATTCTAAAAATCAAGAAAAACTTGATGCTAAGCAATTTTTCTTTTCAATTTAGATTATCTTCAAATTTACAGCACCATTTCAGCTTGTCGTCTGTTTATTCACATTATTTTCCTGACACTGGAATTCCAGAAGTGACCACCTGTCATTCCCGAAGTGCCATAACTGTGGATTATATTTTCTATTCTGCTGAAAAGGAAGATGTTGCCAGGCAGCCAGGTAAAGAATGCATGTAATCTTACACTGTGCTTAAGAAGATAGTAATTCCAACCTTGGCACTAGAGGTCAAGAAAAGTTAGCTAAATATCTAGGTGAAGTTTTAAATTAAAAGTTAAAAATATTTTGAAATTGGTAATGTATTTGAGTAAATCAGTTAATCACCTGCAAATCATGGAGGCAGTGAAGCCCTTCAAAGCAAATTATTGCCTAAGAATTATATCCTTAGCTCCCCCTTCCAGTTCCAGTCAGCTTCTTAGTTATGGGTCTCTTATATTGCCCTTTGGTTTTACTTGCCATAAATTTACTGGGTTTTTTGGGGGGCGGGGGGAGGGACAGCAACATCAGATAGTTTTGTACTTAAATTTTACTAAGGCATGCTGCCTTCATCGGAGGACCTAGCTTATATTGCCAACAATAGACAGTTATGTTGACTCTGGAATATTAGATCTTTCTGGAACGAGAAATCCATTATATGAATATGTGGTTTCAAAGAGCAGAGGTGATAAAACACTTTTCCTTATATGATTCAGTAAAAGTAAGGTTTTAAATATTAACCAAAATATTTAACATGGAGAAGAAAATGCAGTTTAAAATGACTGGAAGGCAAAAAATATCTTTCAGAAAACTTCACAAGTCCAAAATGTGGACAGTTGTTTTGTCTTTTCTGGTTTTCCTTTTCTTTCTTTCTTTTTGTGTGTGTGCGCTACTTTCCTTTTGTCCTTTTTTCTTCTGCTTGTGTTTTCCTTCCTACTGAGGATAACCTTATTACTAACACTCGGCATGGCTTAAGCTTAGCCCTCCCCAACTAGATCAAGTCTATGAAATAATGCTTGCTGCTTTGAATCTGTAGTCAGGGTCTGGTAGTTGTCATGCTGTAAATGTTCACTAGGTGGCGGGAGCGTGCCATGGACCGGCATCTCAAATGCTGCCATTAACAGCAGGTCCACTTACTCTTTTGTAGGCACTGACTCTGGGACCAAAGTATACTAATTTATTCTCCAGTCACCTTGTAAACTTCCTACTCAGCTGTGGCTGGGTCTGTCTGGTTTATACAACTATGGAATAGTTGATGAATTTCTTAATGTAGTTGTCAATCTCAAATTACTTTTTTTTAGATTTATTTATTTTAGAGAGAGCAAGAGAGCATGTGTGTGAGCATGGAGGAAGGGGGAGTGGCAGAGAGAGAGAGTCCCAAGCAGACTCTGCACTGAGCTTGGAGCTCATCGTGGGGCTGACCCCACAATTCCAAGATCACCACCTGAGCCAAAACCAAGAGTCGGATGCTCAACCAACTGGACCGCCCAGGCACCCCTCAAATTACTTTATTTTTCATTTTTTAATTTTTATTATTTTTTAAAGATTTTATTTATTTGAGAGAGAGAGCATGCACAAGTCGGGGGAGAGGCAGAGGGAGAGGAAGAAGGACAAGCAGGCTCCCTGCTGAGAGTGGAGCCCCAATGGGGGTTTCAGTCTCAGCCCTGAGATCATGACCTGAGCCAAAGTCAGATGCTTAACTGACTGAGCCACCCAGGCGCCCCTCAAGTTATTTTAACATACTTATGTATTACAGACAGTATTTTCTTCTAAAGATTATTTGCAGAACTCAAAACAAAAAAAAATTTGAACCAGAAATAAAATCAAACATCTAAAACTGCTATGTGTCTGAGAACTATAATTAGGTTATAACTCAATATGAAATTTCATCATAGTCTAAAGGCTGTTTCCCATTAGACTACAGGAAGTTCTGAAGTTCTATACCATCGTTTAAAAAAGGACTTGTATTATTAATTTACAATGACCTGTTGACACAGTTTCACTAAACATGCGTTTCCTTAATGTAGGAGCTGAAGTTGCTCTGGTTGGTGGCTTGAAACTTTTGGCCAGACTATCACTCCTTACGGAACAAGATTTGTGGACTGTTAACGGACTTCCAAATGAAAATAATTCTTCAGATCATCTACCTTTATTGGCTAAGTTCAGACTTGAGCTGTGACTCTTCTTTGATTACATATATACTTTTCTTTCCAATTTACATTCTTTTTCAAAAAATGTAAAATATTTCTTGAGAGTTTGCATGTTTATTTTTGCGCCATGGAGTTTCTGAAGAGGTTATGTTAAATGCTTGAAACAGATGTGAGAAGAAACAAGTTTACAACAATTTTCTTTGTAATACCGAAAAAATATTTTCCTGACAAGTGCGATCCAAACGCTCCTTATTGTAAAAGAGTTGTAAATATTTTTTATTCTAAATCCCAGTAAAATTGACAGTGATTTTTAAATACAGTGCATCCTCTTGAGTTAGTAAAGAATTTCAGTTGATGTTTTTGGCAAGCTTTACGGTGGATCCAAAGTATCTTTGAGTTCTTGCAAACCACAACTCATTTCCCTCCCAGAAGGCCTGATTTCATTGTGAGGACCATCTGTTTGTTGAGTCCAAATTATTTCATCTCAGAAATCACTCACAAGTGTCCAGCCAACCATTTTAGCTTGGTTTTGAGGGGGCTTGATAATGCTTTCTAAAATTGTACAAATTGCCTAATCCGTCTTACTACTCCCCTGAGCCGTGTACTGTGTCTGCCTTTTGTTGGGAGATGTAGGTCACCATTACTAGTGGGTGAGGTGCCGTATAACACGCCCTCTTTCCATCCTGTGACAGACCATTCCAGCATGCCTGAGAGAGGCAGAGACTGGGTGAGAGTGCCTTTGTTTCCCTAGCACTTTGTTCTTTGTTTTTTTCTTTTTTCTCTTCAGTTTCAAGAAGAGATCCCTGGGTTGGGGGAGAGTCTTTATTTTTCTGAACCAATTCTGTGGAAATTTATTTTATGAGGAAACTTGTCTTTAGAACAAAGTGGCAGCTGTAAGATTCTTTTGGTTTTGCCTCAGATATTTAGGAAGCCCGCAGAACTAGTAGGGAGATACCAACTTGGAGACCTAATACTCTTAAGTAGTAATTTTAACCATCTTAGTGGTTTTGTTTCTAAGATGTTACTTTGTTTTCTTTTATAATGAGGCAGCAGTGTGAGGTGGTGCTGACATTTTTTTGTAAAGTGGTTTAAGAGCAGGTCTAGTGAGTCCCACAGTTGGTGCTCTGTGAGTGTTTGGATCAAACATTTTAAAACAGAAAAAGTGAACATGTCCTCTTTTTTAGACATTAGGATCAAAGAATTATGCGCATTTTTACTAAGTAGTAATTTTATATTTAATTATACTGAATTATAAAAGTTTTTACAATGGGTGTTCTTCATAGAATGCCTCATCTTAAATTAGAAAGCAGTAGTTACTCCGGGTCCTGGACTCTAAAGGTTTTTGTACTAAAGTATATTTACTACAGTTATTTTTTAAGAAAAGAAATCAAATGACTACCTGAACAAGGCATGTGGGTTATAAGGATTTACCTACTAAAAATCATAAGCAAGTATTTTTAAATGTTTAATTTCTCACCTTTTTGGGTTTTTACTTAGAGTATTAACTGTAGTTCTAAGATTTTCCACATTTTCTAGTAACAGTCTGCAGAATATTGTATGTTCTAATTAGCAGATATTGTCATCATGAAATAATAGTATAATTAATCCTTTTTAATATTGGGGAAAGAAAAATGAAAATTCATTAATCACTGCTTTGTGTTTATGTGAGTTTATTAACAGATAACTTTGTGTATAGGTCGTTGTTGCTAAACTAACATCTCTGAAAACCTCTGTGAAAATTTAATTTTTTATGTCCTGATCAATATATTGATTTTAGGCCCTTTTCATGTGCTTCACTTTGTAGAGTTAATCCATAAAAATGTTTTCCACTTTAGCCTTTAGAATGTAATAGTATTTTGTGAACTGGAGGCCAAGGGGTCAATGTAACCTTATCACAGGTTTTTAAAGCTCCACTAAAATTAACTATCCACTTGTCTTTACTTTTTTTTGGTCAGAAGAATTGGTAACTCTCTTGTATTTACCTGCCAAAAGCATTTAAATCTGGTTAATTGCTGAAGCCAAATCACCCCCAATCTGGTACTGGCCAAGTTTTAAAATGGAAAGAGATACTGTGGAGTAAGAAATGTTGGTTTTACTGTACCTTTTGATATCAAGATGCATGTTTGAAATCTTGTCCCTTTTTTTTGGAATTTAGCAACTGTCTGCTTTTAACCCTTTGCTTTCCTAAAAAACCAAGTTAGAGATCCAGAGAGTTCAAGGCGTTGGGGAAACAGAGAATTCAAGTTATTTGCACTTTGTTTCTGTGAATCACCTAATAAATTATTACTCTAGTGCATCTGGGCCTGGAGATTTTGTGGTGGGTGTGCTAAGTGTGTACGCTGGGCTGTTCCCCTTTCTAAACTATTCCATTACCCTAAAGCCTGTATTACTTAGGGTGATGCTAAAATGTAAGTGAATTCAGATGTGGCAAAACAGAATAGTGTTGAATATAGAGTCTGAAAAGTGTGGAAGAAGACAAGGATGAGGGAGTGATAAATGAGTTTACTGGGACAAGTATGTAGTAAAAGGACAAGAAAAAAATAAATCACACCATCTTATGTTTTTGGAAGAAAAACAATCCTTTAGTTTCCAGGATGGTTTTATTAAAGTCCCATGCTGTGTATAAACATACAAGTGATGAGAAAAACATTAACTTGAAACATGCACTTATCTGGCATTCTCTAAAATACCATTATACAAGTTTTCCTTTACTTAGAAAAATACCCACTAAAACAATCACAGTTTTCCTTAAAGATTTAAAAAAAATGTATTGGCCAGAACAAAGTCCAAGAGAATAAACAAGATTCTGAATTGTGTGTCAAAAAAACTGTACAAGGTTGTACATAAAACTATAGCTTACAAAAGCCTTGGGTATAGTAAGAATACAGAATTAAGATTTCCAAAGTTCTATTTACCAATATCTATTAATAAAATCCTTATGAAATAATTGACTTAGAAAAAGTGAAATGCTCATGATTTCAAAGTGTATAGAAAATACTAAATATCACTTTCTGAAATAAAGTATACTCAAAACAGCACAACATGGAGTCTAAAATCAAGATTTCTGTCATCCATTTAAACTTTGCATATATCCCCATAATGGCTTAAGCATAAAATTTCTCTTGCATTTATAACTTTAAAAACTAGACTCAAATCATCTCATAGTTTTATTTTTTATCTTTTGAATAATAGCCAGTTTTAAAATCAATTTTGGGGAGGGGGGTAAATCATGTCATGGTTTTGTTTTGTTTTTGCCTTAATATCATTTTAACTAAATTCCTGCGCTAGAATTTAAGAGTTTGGTGCCTTTCTCACATCTTTCAGAAATCAACATAATTCCATAGGCAATAAAAATAGAATGAAAACTAAGAGCATTTTAAATTACTTTTCATGTTTCTGTGACTAACCCTGGCTCTGGGGGACTGAATCTTAAACTCAAGAAGTGAGTGGAAAAAAGATCAGGTTACTAATTGAATCACCAAACCAGCTGGTGGTTTTAAGGCTTATAAGTCATCATATTAGAACAGTTGGTGTTCCTATCCTTTTACCCTTTTTTGTGGGAAACAAGAGGCTATGCAACTAATGACATTGTATATTTTGGAGGGGACGGTACTTAAATAATACTTGGAAAATCCTATTCCAAGCTCTTAGAATGATTGCAGTGGTAGAAGTTGTATACTTATTAGAGATAATAAAGTGTCAGATTGATAAACATAAGATACATATATCTTGTTTTTCACAGAGAGAGCTAAGTCAGTATTGTTTTAGAAGGAGAATGAATTGACTAATTGAAATACTTCAGTACATGTGGCCATGAGGCTGCAAATGAGTTTGCCTTATGAAGAGATACAAAGATACCTCATCTTAAACTGGAACTGAGAATACTATTCTTAAAGTGATTAAGTTCAGAATTTTTAACTTCTGTATTTTAATCTAATTGAGATGTATACTTACTTGGTCCTTTTCATGTAAAGGACACTAAACTTCCTTCTTTTTCAAGAAAATACCACTTTCTATGAATGCCATGAGTTGTTGTTTTTTTTTTAATGCCATTGAGTTTTAGCATAAAGTGAGCTCATGCACACACGGCCGAGGGATGGAGTCACCTTCAGTGGTTTTACTGGTAAAGAATCTCAGTGAGCAGATTATTTTTCTATTCCCCTTTCTAAAATCAGGCAAAGAAAGCCAGGCACAGAAAGCCAGAGAGGAAGCCCTCAACTGAGATAACACTTCTGTTGACTAGCAGACTTCACTTACATCTGCGCGGTGGTCTCACGAGTTGGCACGGCCGTTGAGCTACAATAGATGAAACGGAAGCATGCTCTTGATGTTGATAACATACAGACTTGGCGGGTAGGGTTCCTCTGTGCGGTCTGCAGTCAGAAGTTACACAGATACACTGTCCATCACGGACTCTATCACGCTCTAAGATGGAACACTGTACCTGAAGACTTTTCCATTTAAGAAAAGGTTCTGCTTCTCTAATTCATCACATTTTCCAATATCAGTTCCTAAATGTCATGAAGTGGTACTTAAAAGCAAGGGACTGGAAAGGGATCACGTCATGCCACATTTGGTCTTAATATAAGACATCAGAACACCTCTCTGACAACAGTGAGTCCTTCAGAATCAAGGCCTGACTCAGAGTTTAAAAATCAGATGGACGTAAACAGAAAGGTTAACTGGTTCTCAAGACTCTGCTGATTGATTCCTGGCCTCTGCCTTTCTGAGTGTGTGATTGTCGGAGGTAATTGCAAAACTGCTAAATGTGTGTCACAGTGCCATGACCTCTTGTGCTTTTTTTGCTGGAGTTTGCAAAGTTTAAATGTTAGTGACAGAACACAGACTACCTTCTGATCATGCTTTTTGTTTTGAAAGAACAAAAAACCGCTGTCAGTGAATGCTTTAAGAAATATTAAGAAAGAAGTAACTCCAAGGTCCTGAAAATAGTTTCCTGTATTGCCAGAATTTCAGTGCTTTTTAGTAAAACACTTGATATAATACCTTAACTCCCATTATGTGTGTACCAGGAAAAAATTCCAAACTTTGTGGAGATCCCCATTGGAAATACTGGGGAAACAATACAAATAGAATATATATAAAAAACAACAAAACAACAAAACCATTAAGTTTGCATATCTGATGTCAAGATGCTGAGGTAATATTGACTGCTTAAAAAAAAATCCCACCAATCTTTGCCTCTGTTATTGCTGAAAAAAGACATTAATACTGGCTGAGTTACCTTACTATATCAAAAGTGGGAGGGAGGGTTTCAGTAACATATACTACTGGTGAGGAGGCATCATGTTCAAAAGCAAGGAGACAAAAAGTAGGTCAATGGGAAGATAGAAAACTACGGTTACATATTTCCCTTTCTATCTGTAGTGAGGGAGACAGTCCAACCCCGATGGGGTTTCTTACTTCGGCCTTTTCCTGGTGGCCCCTTGGTGAATTTCAACATTAATTGTTACCACCCACTCAGATTCCATGTCCAAGTGAATCCTTAAAAATAAAATCCACAGGTTCTCAATAAATAGTTGCAGTTCCTCCTAAAGACGCTGGGGTAAAGTGCAGAGAGAAGCACCACGGAAGCCCTCTTACTGGCTGATATGGCTTGCCTAAATTCGGATTTGGTAGCCCACCTCATTCAGCGTGCTAAGGTCAGCCACATTCTTCTCAGGCAGTGCAGGCCTAAGGGTCAAAGGAAGATGGTGGGGGAGAGGGGATGGGATAGAGAAAGATCACTTAGTATTTGATTCAGAGAACTCGACTTTGTTCTCCTGACCCTTCAGATGCTTGCCCCCAGCCCGCCCCCTGCCCCTACCCCCGCCCCAGCCTTGGTTCCCAGCGTGACCTCGTGTTCTCAAGTCCACTTTGATGGGCTATGTAGGGAACATTTTCACAGGCTTTTCAATGTAGAGCTGAAAAAAACTGACAGGTTGCCGAATGAGTTTGTCCAACTTGAAGCCTGAAGCCTGCGTTCCATCACACTAACTTCTGAAACCCAGTTATCTGTAAACCTTGCAAAGGTCTAAAAAAATCACATGTAGTCCAGTAGAACTAAAAACCTCAGCCAGACTCTCCCTGAAACCTTGGCTTCCTGGTGCTCGTGCCCTGGGGGAAACCCAGCAACTACAAGACTTCTCAGGTGCCAGATTGGCACGGAGAGATGCTTGGCTATCTTTGATAGAGGATTACTCTTCCAGGCCTCGGTGCATAAAATTGGGGCGGATCCTTTACAACTCATCTGAAAAAGCATGTCAATGTGGAAAATCATTCCGTGGCAAATCCTCTCTTCTCCCTAAATACATTTTCCAAAGTACTAGTAAGCATTTATGTGAAGTCATGTCAGAAAATACTTCAAGCTGGAAAAAGAAAATCAGTAAGCACAGCACCTGTCTTCATTAAAGACATTTCCTCAATGATTTCCCGATATAAAAGTACGCCCAAGCATTCTCCCGACTTCTCTCACAGTTTTTCCATTTCTTAGCCTCCTACCTTCTCTGATAAGAGAGAACGGAGCTTCTGAACCAAGTTTAGCAGGTTCAGTATGGCTAGAGAGCTCTAATTCCAAAGTTTCACATTCAGCCATTTTTACCAGAAGACTGAAGATATTTTTAGGATACACATGACCCTTGTTTTAAGTGTTTGAAGAAAAGAGACCAAAATGAAAATATAATGGTTTCTTGGTTTATCCTTTGAAGGGTTTCCTAACAACAAATAGATTTCCCCCGGCAGGAAGGTGCTCCAACTCACAGAGCCAGAAATCAACAGCCAGCTAATGTCGACGGGGCCGCTTAAGGACACGAGGCTCAAATTTTGGCAACAAGTTCTACCGCCTACATATTATTCTCTCTCTGTCTCTCTGTCTCTGCCCACCTCCATCTCCTCTCCCTCCCTTCCTCATCACCCCTCCCTCCCTTTCCCTCAACAGCCTATGAACATCCCCTCTGAACCTGATTATTCAAAGTGGTCAAGAAACCTTCCCTGACTTGCTACTTGGCATTACTAAGGAACTTGTAAACTTAACTCATCTCTGTGTTGCATGAGGCTGATTTCCCAGCGTGACCATGTGCCCTGCTTTACTGGTCAGAATCATGCCTCTCGTTTCTTTGTGTCTCTGCTCATGGTGCCCGGGGTGCACAGATGATGCTGACAAATATGGCCGACAGAGGACAGACGTCCTCGGACTTGCTTGCATGTAGGCCCCTGCTCACTGTACCAAAGAGCTCAAGGCTTCTGACCGGAGCAATGGTGTCCTCCAGCCGTACGTGCCCTAGAGATCGGCCATTCCCTATCAACAGAGCCACTGGTAGAGTGGACCCCGGGGACCACTGTAAGGACCATTCTTGAGTTGGCAGCTAATGGGAGCACACTTCCAGCTGAGGGTTCAAACTTAAATTTATATCTCTATCCTAGTCCTCAGCCCGCTAACGTGGAGAGAACTAGGGCTCTTGCAGACAAGTCCGGTTCAGAGTCCATTTGTATCTAATCCATTTTCTTTCTTTTTTTAATTATTATTTTTTAAGATTTTATTTATTTGACAGAGAGAGAGGGAGAGAGACAGCACAAGTAGAGGGAGAACCAGGCTTCCCGCCGATCAGAGAGCCCGATGTGGGACTCGATCCCACGACCCCGGGATCATGACCTGAGCCGAAGGCAGACGCTTAATGACTGAGCCACCTAGGCCCCTCTAGTTCAGTTTTCGAAAAGCCTGACATAGAGTCTGTTTTGTTTCCTTGCCTGAGGTGTGTCATCTTTTCAAACAGCGAATATGGGACTTCCTCCTTCAGGTAGACTCCCCATAAGTTAGCATCACCCTAAGGCAAAAGAGGTTAGAAAGGCAAATCTATTTCCCCCCTCCTCCATGTGCCCCACTTTTAGAAAATTCAGCAATCAAAAAAAATTCACTTGCCGAAGGATAAGCTTCAAGTATCCCTAGGATAAGCTTCAAGTATCCCTATGCATTCCTCGCTTTACAAAAGGATTAAATGGGGGGTCATTTCCTAGAACAATTAAAATATAATTTCCACATTACCTTTCCTGGTGGTTGAACTACGTGCACATATGTTCCTTATCCAAATATAAATCACATTTGCAGTGAATGGATTTTTTCTTTTTCTTTTTTAAAGATTTTATTTATTTATTTGAGAGAGAGAGAATGAGAGACAGAGAGCATGAGAGGGGGGAGGGCCAGAGGGAGAAGCAGACTCCCCGCCGAGCAAGGAGCCCGATGCGGGACTCGATCCCGGGACTCCAGGATCATGACCTGAGCCGAAGGCAGTCGCTTAACCGACTGAGCCACCCAGGCGCCCCAATGGATTTTTTCTTTATCTGATGCTTTTAATGATCTCTGCGGGGCAGAGTCTGTTAGTTGCCCCGCCACGTCCACCATCCCCTTCTGCCTTAGTACAAACCCGCTTTTCAGCCGGCCACAGAGCTGCCAGAACACAAACCACGTTTCCCAGCCTCTCTGAAACCGGTCAGGCGTCGGACTAAGGTGTAGCCACTGAGACTGACGTGGAGGTTACCAGACACCTCTTCCAAAGGCAAGAAGCATGGGCCCTTCGTGGGTTTCCCTGCTCTCTCTCCTGTCTTGTGGAAGTGATGGCTGGAGTGCGGCCCCCAACGTGGGACACTGGAGAGGCCCAGCAGGAAGACGCCCCCTACCGCCTCAGTTGAGCCACTTTCCCACGTTGGTGAGCCCCCGGCTAAGTCCTAGCTTCACCCCGACCTTACCCGCCACCAAACCTGGTCCTGACTGGGATCATGTCCGTCCGTTAACTCACTGAGACAACGCCAAGTCCGATGCCAGTCATGGTGGGTGCCGAGTGGGCCTGAGGAAGGTTCACCTGGGGAGTGAGCACACGTTCCTAGCAAGTTCTCTAGAATTCCACTCGGGAGAAGTAGCCACACCCTACACAAAGTCCGGAGACTCATGTGTAAGAGTCTGTCTTCTTCCCCGGGGCCCTGCACCCCGTGCAGGACCTACGCCATGGCGGCTCTTCACATCTCCCATTGTCAAGAGTAAGCAACAACTCGTGCTCAACAAGAGGATCCCCGTTCCAGGGGCCTTTGCAGCACACACCAGTGAGCTCACCCCAGTTCCGGCACCTTTCTTCCCAACCTGGCCTCTTTCTCAGCACCGAGTTACACGTCTCCTTCTCCGAAACTCTGAGAAATATGCTGCCCTTCCTGTGTGAGAAGAGCGCTCGTAAGACACCAGCCTAACATGCTTTCCCGGGTGGTGGAGCAGGTCTGTGCTGACCTCTTTTCTCTCCCTCAGTCCCCGGACCAACGGCGCCTGCTGGGAAGTCAGCGGCAGGACAGGCTGCAGGGTCCGGGGGTCGAGAGGAGGACGAAGCCTAGCCGCTGGGCCCTGGGATGGGGGCTCGCCTGGGATCCTGCTGCAGCTAGCCACCGGCATGCTGCCTCCTCAGAAGCCAGTGTTCGCCCACTCACCGAACTCTCTCACTTTGGAGCCCATCGGCCCCCAGGAAACGGAATGTTCACCACACTCTTCCAAGTGTGTGTGTTCCTAAAACTTCAGCCTTTACCTTTACCCTTGGTCTGCTACTGGTTCCCTTGGAAACAGATGTACTTTAACTCGGGGGGTCTTTGGCCTCCTTTTTCCTAAACCTTTCCTTAGCACCTCCACCAGTCGCTGCCCCCTGCCCACCCCAGCGGGGTCTTCCAGGTGCTGAGAAATCACCATTATAAATAGTTTCCATTTAGTTGGCACTTACAAGGCACCAGGCATTGCTCTGAGAGGTTTACGGGGATTAACTGAGTGTCACCATAACCTGATGGGGTTGATACTGTTCCTACCCATTTTACAGAGGAAGAAATCGAGGCACTGAAAGTTAGGGAACCTGCTTAAAGCAAAGTCACATGTTTAGCAAGTGGTGGAGCCAGAACTCCTCCCCGGAATCTACAGCCCGTGTCCTTAACCATGAGGCAAACGGACCCCATCCTCCCACTCCCCACACAAAGCATCCTCCCAAGCATCGAAGGATGACACCACAACCACTCCCGCTTCTGCACCATGACACGGAATGCCCAACCCCATGCCTTGTCGTCCCTCCATGGTCCAACCCGAACACCACTTCTCCCGCGAAGTATCTGACTTCCTTCCCTCACAACGCATTACTTCTCGCCCCCGTATGCTAGGGCATTTTCTCTAGTACATCTGCTAAAGAATCCTGCAGGTTCCTACTCCTCATGCCTGCCTCAGAGACTGAACAAATTGAGAACAGGGATCCAGTCCATTCAGCTATGAATCCCTCCTGTTGAGTAGCCTGTTCTCAATTAAACCTGGGTCAAGTTCTCATTAACATGTAAATGGCGGAGAGGGCTTCATTATGTTCTCTTTATCATGGGATATTTTTAACAACGTCCTAAGCCAGGAATTCAAGTCACCATGATGACATTCTAAGAACTAACAAGTTTTCCTGTACAGGACAGGATTTATCTTACCAAAGCCGCTTGGGGAACCTGCCTACTTTGAAAAGCTGAATGTGGATCTGCAAGCACAGAGAGCTGGAGGGCTTCCAGAGGAAAGGGACTAGGTTGTCCCCTTCCTCTGTAGCCCACCCGTCCCCCTGCCCCCTATGTATCCAGAACCCAGGGAAGAACAAAAGGCTAATACTGCCAGAAAAGGATTCAACTGAGATCCCCGGTGAACTGCCTGA